TGGCTTCCGCCGCAGTGGAGTCTGTGTCTTCCTCCATTTCCTGCCTGCTTTATTTCTGAAGGGACCTTCAGAAACAAGCTGCCAGCATGCCATCACACAGCAGAGCTCGGGGCCGTGACTGGGCGCAGGCAGAGTGTGTGGTTGCTTTGACTCACGTGTGCTTTCTTCTGAGAGGTGGCTTTGAAGCAGTGTCTCTTGCCTCATTTTCATGGACATGTCTTTCTTAAGCTTTTGGTTCTCTTGAAGTAAAACAGTGTGTAGTATCTTTTGAATGTCTTGTGACTGGCACATGCTTGGCACATGACAGTCCTATAATATGTTGGTTGGCTAGCCCTTTCCAAAACATCCTGCTGTTCCAGCTCTCCTGCCTAGTAGCTGTGTCTGTCACCAGCTCTCTCGGGACTCACATCCACAACTCTGTTCTGGAATAGCACTGAGCCGGTGGCAGGGACCAGCCCTCAGGTGCTATGAGGGGTGAAGCCAGATGTAGGACTGCAGAATGTAGTGGGGGACCTGCCCACGTAAGCATGGTGATGGAGGGCAGCAAGACCCTTGGCATCCTGGCAGCTTGGGTCAGACAGGGTTCTGTATGGATTAGGACACAGGTGACTTCATCCTGGCCGCACTGTACCTGGTTTATATTAAGATGATGCCAAAGAGTCAGGCACATCCTCGGAGCCAGAATCCACCTATAACGCCTCACGGGCGACTCTAGTGACTTTGTACATTTATGATTTGCAGAGAAACCGCAGATGGATGACCATGACGCTTACGACGCAGCAGGCCTGCAGTCGTGCCAAGCTGTATGTGTCTGTGCGAGTCTAGACTTACGGGTCCATCTGGTTCCAGTGATGATAGACCAGGGATTTAGCAGCTGCCCACGTTGAATTGCCTAATACAGTTCTTTGGTGGTATCCCCTAACTAGTGAGGAGCAAATCGGTGGGTTGCTGAGTGTATCTTACGTTTTGTTTGGTGACATTGCTTATTTTAGTATAGAAAAGCAGTGTATATGTAATTTCCAAATGTATTCCATGTTCTGGTATTCCATATGCTTTGACCACTTTTTCATAATTGAATAAGAAATACTTTAAAATAGAAGAAATTGTCTGGATGTTTAGTCCCTTTCCTTGATAAAGGAGTTTACACCATCAGCTTCCACGAATTCCTCCATGAATTCACCTTAGACTTGCTCTGTCTGCAGTTGACGTATTCAGTTGGAAGCTTTGAGGGAGTGTTTAGGCCTCTTCTGATCAACTCCATGCAATTCCCGTGAGTCGGGGCCCCAGCACGCGGCTCTGCTGCTTGCAGAAGGCAGAGAAGGAAGATGGGCAGAAACAGCTCCTTGTTTTAGTACGTCGGCCAGGGCTCGCTTGTAACGAATCTCAGAATGTCCGCGTAAAATTCTCTTGATAACTGCTGGAGTAAGTGACTATGTATTTCAAGGAACATCTCAAAGAAGAATAGAAGCTTAAGGATTAGGGGCATTTCTGACAGATGGGAAGAAAAGAGACACTAATGAAGACCAAAAGGAGCGGAGACAGCGCTTGTTTTTCTGTCAGATTCCCAGGGAGGTGTAAAAAGCACAGGCCACAAACAAGTTGTGTGGTCACTGTTGGCTGACTGAATGAAAGATAAAGTGAAGTCAGGTATTTTAGAATCTAAGTTAAAGAAGAGGACACGGGAAAAGGATCTGAGGTCCATTCTTGTCCTCTAAGTATACAGTGATAAATAATATGGATAAGAAAGTACAACAGAACAAAAGGAGAATTAAACAGAGAAGAACTGGTGTCTGACAGGGAGAACTATGTGTAGGATTGTCTTAGCTACTCTTCTCTCCTTGCTGGGACAGATATCCCACTCTCAAAATGAGGGAAGGAAAGGTCTTTTTAGCTCACAGTTACTGGAGGTTTCAAGACACTGGAGGAGAGGCTGGGCGCTGCCGTGTCCAGGTTGACCCTCCCCACATCTCTGAGAAAGCACAAGCGAGCCAGTTTAATGGCTCACTCGGGCCCCTCCCTGGTCTTCTGGCCCCTCCCCTCGGTCCCACCCTGGTCCTCTGGCCCCACCCCTCGGCCCCTCCCAGGTCCTCTGGACCCCGCCCCTCGAGCCACTCGCTGCTCCTCCAGCCTCATCTGCCCCATAACTTACGTAAGGCTTTGAGGGGACAACTAGGCACAAACCATAACAAGGATAAACCTAGATTACTGAAAGTATGGTGGGTAGGGGGCTGGAGGAGCTTGGCAGCGTAAGCTCCTGCCTGGCAAGCACAAGGACTTGGGTTTGATCCCTGGTACCACATGCTGTGCTGGTCCAGGACCCTGGGTGTGGTGGCGCATGCCTGTAATCCCAGCCCTGGGGAGCCTGACACTGGAGGATAACTATGAACCCGAGCTGCATAGTGAAACCCTGTACCAAATACATACTTGAATTCATTAGTTTTTTTTTTTAAAGTATGGTAAGTTGGCATTATGAAAATCAAAAGCTCAGTGTACACAAGAGTTTTAGTAATATTTAAATGAGGATATTCTTATCAAGTTATCAAGAATAACTAGCTGTCACCCTTAATTTATTGTCCTTTATGACATCAAATTCTGAATCTCCCACGGCTTGTGATTTTACATCCTTAGTGTTTCTCAACACCTTCATTCCACTGTAGGTCCATGGTACTCCCTGTCTTCCACTTGGGTTACTACAGTAGCCTTTAGGTATTCCTTTGCTAAGCTCATCTCAAGTCCTTGGACGGCAGCTTCAGAGATGCCTGCCAGTGACCCCTGCTCCCTTGTCTGCAGGTCCTTGTGTGGCCCTGTCCCCGTCTGTGACTGTGTGTAGGGTGAGTGGGTCCGAGGAGCTAAAGCTAATGAGGAAATCATGGTGAAGCGATGAGATGTGCCTCCCAAGAATAGGTCAGAAGATCTGGCTCCTGACCTAGCCTCTCCGTCTCCCTGCTCCTTCCTGACTGCCCTGTGTGAGCCGGGCCAGAGGGCCCCTGGGCCAGACCAGGAGGGCTGCTTCTAGAAGAGAGGTGGGCCCTCCAGCCGGCAGCCCAGGAAGGCATGCCCTCTGCAGCCGCGGAGGTCAGAAGCGACTCTCAGGCAGATGAGCCGTGGACTTCAGCGCTCGCTGACAGTGTGACTGCTGCCTCGGGAGAGGCCTGAGCCAGCCCCCAGTCAGCTGTGCACAGAGGTTCCTAGGCGCATGGACTCCACGTGATTTTAGCTACTGCCTTCTGGTGTGAGGGACCCATAGATAACTAAAGTGGTGTGCTTTCTCTTTGATTGGCTTTGCAGTCCCAAGAACTGAATTTAGGGCCTTTGCATTGAGCTATGTCTCCTGCCTTTTTTATTCTTTATTTTGAGAGAGGATCTTGCTAAGTTACACAGGCTGGCCTAGAACTGATTTTGCTTCCTTGGCCTCCTGAGTAGCTGGGGTTACATGTTGGCACCAACATGCCTGGCTAACAACTATCATTCCTGGAGCAGTAAACCTAATCTATATAAAATAAGTTTCTTCCCCACCCAAGAAAGTGCCCAAGCTCCGCACTGCCTGAGAGATTAAGTGCAAACTCTTGATGTGATAGTTCTCAGTCTGGCCCCTCTGTCTTTGCCTCCTGTCAGTCCATGCTTGCCATTTTAAGCCCTCCAAACGTGAATACTTACGCCTCGTGCTGTGTCTTGCTCTCGTGCTGCAAGTCTCTTGCCTCTTAGGGCGCGGTTCCTAACCACAGCGGTCCTCCACGCCCCACAGATGCCCCCTCTGTGCCTGTGGGAAGGGACACCCGGGAAGTCACTGCTCGGCACAGGCGTGCCTCTCCTCCCTCCCAGCTGAAAGCTGCTGCGAGGTGTGGGCTGTGTGTGTCTTCTCTGTGTCCCTGTCCCTGGCATTTGTGTCTGGTGGGCAGGTGTGCATGGAAGAGCACACAAATTCAAGATTACCTAGGGTCAGGGACGCTGAATCTTAGAATATGTTGAGTTATCACTGGCAGCTAGTAAAATGTACTACTGAAGATGACAACACAGTAAATTAAATGCAGTCTCCAGAAAAGGGCAAGGTATTACTCCTCACAGCATAAATACCACAGTGAAGAAAACTGCAAGTGGGCAAAGGGGCTCCTAGCTTGCGCAGTAGTGTTTAAGGCCGTCTGTTGTGCAGCTTAGGCGGAGACCAGCAACATCCACACGTAGGGACTCGGCAGTCCCAGCTGCAGAAATGTTGCATTCACTGTATCTAGAAACACAGCCGAGTTGCTGAGTTTTTCAAATAATACAATAATTGAAAAAAATTATTAATTTTTCAAATAATAAAATGTAGTTTTCTGTTTTTCAGGTGATAAAATATGACAGATTTGAGAAACACTGGACTAATGGACTGATAAATTAATTTTCTATATTTTCTTCGCCATTGTCACTCAGATAAATGGATACAAATGTTGAGGACCCGCAGGGCCTAGTGATTGCCTTGGAAGTTGAGGTCATGCTGTCCTTGGACATTTAGCTGATCAGTCAGTACTGAATTTTATGTTTAGCCTTTAAATTTTTTAATCACTTATTTATTTATTTGGTTCAGGGTCTCGCTACGCAGTGCAGAGTCGTAGTAGTCCTCCTGTCTCAGCTTCCCCAGCGCTGGGATTACGGACATGCACCACCATATCCAGTTTCAGTGGCCAGCTGTATGCCCAGGGCTCCAGGGCCAGCATGGCATGGGGACCGGGTAGCAAACCTGCGTCCTGGTGCCAGCCAGGCGGGCGCTTAGACCACCAGGCTGTCTTCCCAGCCCCATGGTTAGCTTTTCTTTGTGTGGATACGTATTCGCTAGCTCTTGTACGCTAGATAGTGATTTATGATCACATGAAAAATTGGGAGCAGTGGCTGGTGAATTCCTTTTCCTGATACTAGTCCGATAAAATCTATTCTGTTCTATTATAGGGAAGGACACTGTTGCTGCCTTGAAGATTGGGGTTATTAGGACGTCTTTTTAATACATTTGCCTTTCTTTTCTTCAGTGTTATCCCTCTTTTAAAAGAGTCTGTCGGAATATTAATGCAGAGAACTCCTCCCTTGCTGGAAAATACTTTGCCGCACTGCTATCAGAGGGTAAGTGTCAGAGCCTCCAAGCCCTGCAGTCCGTGCACTGCCCAGACTGTTGGGCTCTTCCGCTTCCGTCAACATGGGCAGCCTGTGTGCGATTCAGTGTTTCTTCCAGGACTGAATGCCCACCATGAATGCCATTCACATGAGCCAGAATAAAGTCACTGGAAGGTACTGACCTTGGTAAAGAAAATGTGGTGGGGACTGTCCTCATCCAGAGACTGAGCAGCTCTTTTAGAGCACAGCATGTAAACAGATTCAGTACGTTTTTATTCGACTTTCTGTAGTGCCCATTGCGTGCCGGAAACTGCCCACACCGTAGAAACGTGATGGCAGGTGAGATAGTGCCTCTGTTCTCACGGGACTTGCAGCCTGGCGAAGAGGCACCCTGAGCAGGAAGCTGGTAGGTGGGCAGGGGCAGCGGTGCCAGGTGTCCTGACAGCACGTCGCAGTCAGGGAGCCTGGGACTCGAGAGGAGGAGCCAGCGTGTGCAAAGCCAGGAGAAGAGCCGCCAGGCAGAGGGAAGGCAGGCTGCAAAAGCTGTCTGGAGCCAACTTGGTCTATTTGGAGGCAGAAGGCCACTGTGGCCAGCGCGGGATGAGGAGTGGGAGGGTGTCCAGGGTGGGGGAAGCCGGCTGGACAGTGGGGTTGGTCGAGCTCAGGAGGGCGCATGCAGGGAAGCTACAGAGGGCTTTCGGGCAGGCAGAAGGGCAAGCGCCCATTGTGGCTGAGCCGGGGTGACGCTGTGTGCCGCCTGGGCCTCCTGGGCACCCGGTGCTCTTGCCTCAGCCTCCCACGTGCTGAGTAGACGGGACTGCCACATCTGCTCACATCTTATGTTATTTCTTTTTTGACTTTTTGAGGCAGCATCTCATTATGTAGCCCAGGCTGGCCTCAAACTCACTGTAATCCTCTTGCCTCAGCCTCCTGAGTGCTGCTAGGATTACAGGCTTGCAGCACCATGCCCAGTTACATACTTTTTAAAGATTGTTTTCTCCACGTACAGAACAAATTCTACTTTAAAATATGGTTTCAAGGTGCACCCATTTCTGAAAGTATGTGAAATTTGTCTTTATGGCAGAATAGGAGTCCGTTGTGTATATGAGCCACATCATCCACTCACCTGGGCTGTTTCCAAGATAGCTATTGCAGATTGTTCTGCTATGGATGAGAGTATGTATGGATTGCTGTGGTGTGGTGCTTTTAACTTCAGGAAGATGATAAGGGGAATGGCTGAGTCAAGTGGAACATCTAATTCTAAAGTTTCAAGGGGTCTCCACACGGATTTCCAAAGTGGCTGCACCAGGCTGCGCTCCCACCAATGGTGGAGAAGGGTTCCTGTCCCCACAGCCACCAGCACTTGCTGTCGGTTGGTCTCTTGATGAGAACCGCTCTTCCCGGGCTGAGGTGGACTCTCATCTCTGCTCACTGTACCCAGTGAGGGAGAGTGAACAGTTTTTTTCAAAAATAATTCAGACACGTGTGTAAATATTGCATTGTTTTTCTTGTGTGAGAAAGCAAAAATGTAAATAAAGACCAAAATGGGTGATACATACTGGGAAGTAGGAGGAAAATGTTCAGATGGGAAGCGGGCCAAGAGAGAAGGAGCGGAGGGGGAAAAGGGGAACAGAGCTTTTGTAAGTAAGAGGGGAAGAAGGGGTGAAAGGACGACGGGGGGGTGGGGGGGGGAAGAAAACGCAAGGTATGTTATGGTCAGGTACAAATTCCCTATGGAGGTCATTGTGTATATCAAAAGAGTACCAGTAAATATTTTAAATAAGTTTTAGCAAGAATGAAAGCCAAGAAAACCAATTATAAAGCTGTTGTCATCTAAGTGGGAAAAAGTGGTGGCTTAAACTGTAGTCAGAGCGGTGGAGTGGGAAATCAATACACATTTGGGATGTATTTTTGGGAACAGATTGTATTATCAGGGAGGGGGTGGACTGGATTAACATTGTGTAGCCTTGCGGCTTAGTAGGCGGTAATGCCACTTGGTAAGATTGAGGCTGAATTAGTAAATGTTTGAGGATGGAAAATCTTCACAAATCAAGAGTTCTGTCCAGGGTGCGCTGAAGTTGAAATGCTCTCATAACCCCAGGCTCGCACAAGGTGACCTCGGGGGAGGATACAGCCTTGATTCTGCTTTCACCTTCCGACTACTTAGGGTGTGATGGAAAAGCCAGAGGGGGTGGTGACGAGAAGTCAGAAGCCCGAGGAGGGTGCAGTTGGCTGCTGGGAAAGTTGGAGGTGGGTGGGCGGGCGCGGCCCGTGCCCAGTGAGCTTGCTGCTGGTGCCTTGATAAGGGGACTTGAGTAGCGTGTGGGTAAGCACACAGTGCAAGTGGTGCCGAGGAAAAGAGGCCAGAAAGCAGGGGCCGGAGGACCATCGGGGGGTGGGCCAGAGCTGGGCTGCTCGTCCACATGGGGATGCAGTATGGAGGGGGGAGGGTGCTGCCTTTAAAAAAAAAAAAAAAAAAATAGGCTATTTTCAAAGAGTGTGGCCCCGTGGAACTTCCCTTAACGATGGAAACGCTTTCTGACCTGCAGTGCCCAGCGCAGAACCCACGTGGCCCACGTAACTCATCCTGTAAACTTGGATTTAATTTTCTTTCATTAAAAAAGAAAGTGCGTGGTGGGTGTGCGTTGCACAGCACGGTCCTAGGAGCTGAGGGGTGAGAGAGACAAGTGGCTGCTGTAGGTATGAAGACCATTGTTTGTTTTTTGGGTTTTTGGTGGAACTGGGGATTGAGCGCAGACCCTTGCGTTTGCCAGGCAAGCGCTTATTCTAGTGAGCCGTCTCCCCGGCCCTGCGAAGGCCATTGTTGTGTCCCCAGGAGAGGACACAGCCCAGGGCCAAGGCCAGGGCCTGGCAGACTGGCTGGCTCAGGAGGAGGGGTTTTCTCTGCTTCCACTTCCTATGTGATTTAGAACTGCAGTGTGGTCTTGCAAAGAGATTAGAAGGCTCCAGGAAAATGAAAAGGCAATAAAATAGCCTCTAGAGATAGGATGAGGTGTTGGCCTACTTTAAATTTTAACCTTGTTAAAATTTCAGGGGGTGGCAGGGAGAGCTCAGAGGCATAAGCAACTGCCTGGCAGGTGCAAGGTCCCGGGTTCACGTAAGTGTGGAGGAGAAGGCTATGAAGTCAGTTCCCACAGGCATCATGCTTGGCAGGTACTGCAGGATGAGTGGAGACGGGTCCACTATGGAGAAAGCAGTCTTCTCAGTCCGGCTGCTGACCCTGCCGTAAGAGTGCCACCTGGCCGCCTATGGAGGTGTGGGCACTTGGAGTGGCTGTCACTGACATGGCAGAGTCAGCACTCGGACGCTGAAACTGGACGCTCATCACGTGGCGCCAGCCTGGGGTGTGGGGTGCTAGCAGACCCTGTGTCCACTACCACCCAGGAAGAACTCTTGTGTTGTCAGTCCTGAAACAGAAGACAAAATCAATAGTTTCTCACTTGTAAAGAAGGAAACGGAGGATATAAAGTTTCCCATCAACTCTCTTGGCATTTGTAGAAAATAACAACAGCATTTCTCAAATTCTGGTAAAAACAACTGCTTCTTTTTTGGTGGTGGTGGTGCCAGAGATTGCCAGGCGCTTATTCTGCTGAGATATCTTCCAGGCCCCAAAACAACTTTTTATACAGATTTAAGATCAGACTTTTCTAGTTTATATCTCAAGTATATTACAAAAGATCAGAGCATCTCAACTGAAAAAGACCTTCTGTTTGTTTGGTCCAGACTTTTCTACTTGCAAGAATCTCTGTGATGATGCCTGGTTGGTCATGCTGCTGGTTACTGATTTCCAGCGACCGTAGCCTATCCCTTGAGTATCTCCTCTCCCTCTCCTCTCTCCTTCCCTCCCTCCCTTCTTCCCTGCCCGTTCCCCTCCCTCCCTGCCTCCCTACCATAAATTGAAAAACAGTAAATCCTTGACCTTACAGGGTTTAAATTCTGCTGGAGTAGACAAAAAGCGGCTTGAGAACAGGTTGAGTATCTCTTACCAAAAATCCTTGAGAAGGAGCTGTGTTTGGATTGGATTTTTTAGATTTTGTAATATTTATATAATAATCTTGGGTGTGGGGCCCGAGTCAAAGCACAAAGTCCATTGATGCTTATCGTGCCTTCTACCTGTGGGCTGAGGTAATTTTACACCATGTTTTTGGTGTGCCTGTTCTGACTGTGGCCCTCACTGTGTGGGTTGGGGTGCTGGCCTGTGATGCACGCGCGTGAGTGTGGGCTCCCTGTGTCGTGCTGTGTGTGGGAAGCCACCTGTGCTGAGGCTCACACAAGGTGAGTGGGCACAAGCATGCAGGGAGTGCTGCTGCGGGCAGGGAAGAGCCAGTGCCCCGGATGGAAGGTGCCCGGCCGGAAGAAGAGCAGGCCGGAGTAGCTGTTGAGGGAGAAGGGAGGAAGGAGAGGGGCTGAGGTGAATGCCGACCACTGTGAAGTGCTGCGTGGACTCAGGGCGGGACAGGAAGACCCCAGGAGTGGGGAGTAGCTGAGCCCAGCTGAGCCGGGCCTTGGGAGACACCTGGTGGGAAGAAGCCAGGCTGGAATTGGGATAGCTTCCGAGCTGCTGTTGTAGCAGCCCAGACTGAGCTGTTAGGCGGCTTTGGATTGGGCTGACCGCAGTGTTCCGTACATTCCTGTGTTGACACATTCAGAATTGCCCATAGGCTTCCTGCAGTAGTTACAGGATTTCTGCTTGTGGGGGCGGTTGTAACCGGGAATCGAGCCAGGACCTTGCACTTGCTGGGCAGACAGTGTGCACTGAGCTGTATCTCCAGCCCATGGTTTTAAGCAGTGTGCAGTGTCTTGTCATGGTGACGCCGGGCAAGGGACGATCCCGTGTGTCGGTGCAGCCAGCGTCCTCCTCCCCATTCTGTACCCAGAGGTGGATTACACGTTTACTGATGTGTAGCACACTTCACGTGCGCTCGGATTCGATGACAGTGTCGCCCTTGGTCCTCCAGGTGCAGGCGTTGCAGGGAGTCTACAGCTTACAAGAGCAGCACTTCTGGACCTTGTGCTCTGACGTCTACGTGGGGACTGTGAAGCTGGTGGTGGCACCTGATGCGGATGCGCGGTGGATTTTAAGCCAGACACATAATATTTTTACTCAGGTATGATTCTGTTACTGGCTGCTTTTATGAGTCTTAAACATTATTGAATGCACTATTTCTAAAGCCCATAATCACCATGCTAAATATATAGGCCACTGAACTGTAAGAACGCACATTACTTTTTTCCCCAATTATCGTCAAATTTGAGGTAACTTTACCCTAGTCTATGCTTGTATGAAACCTAATTCCAGTGTACTCGGTATGCTGATTTCATTTTCCTCGAGGAGAACTAAATCTCCTGTTCTTCCTACAGTGTCAGCACGGTAGATGCTGGCTGAAGCAAACATTCTGAAATTGGATTTGGAATGAGAATAATACCTCATCGGTGGGTTTAGCTGGGAGGCAACCGTTAGGGTTGTTTGTGATAGTTCCTGTCTGTGGGATGTAGGAGTTGCGCCAGGTGTGGCGGCGCACACTGTGATGGCAGCATTCGGGAGGCTGAGGCAGGACGACTGCCCCGAGTCTGCTAATACTACTGTGGGGTGCAGGGGGATGTCAGCTGCTTCATGCTAATGATTCAGGAGAAAAGCACCAGGATGGCTAACTGATTTACAGACATCTCAGCCAACATAAAAAGCTTATTGATAAATACATATTTAGAGAGATAAAACAAATGTGGCAAAATATGAACAGTTGGTGAATATGCATGAAGAAGATTTTTGTTCTTTTTTATGTATTTAGTAATGCAGTATAGGGTGTACAGGGTCTCACTACACAGATTGGAATTTGTAGTGATCTCGTTTTTCAGCCTCCCAAGCACTGGGATCACAGGTGTGTGCCACCACGCCCAGTCTCAGTTGCCAACTCCGCGCACCCCGGGGGCGGCGCTGGCACTTAGGCCGGGGATCGAACTCCGGTCCCCGGGTCTAATCCACTGAACTGTCTGGCCGGCCCAGTCCTCTTCTTTTGACTTGAGAATTTTTCAAAATAATTGTTGAAAAATAAAAACTAGTGGCTCCTCATTGCAACTAGGATGAAACCCATGGTCTAGTGAATTTTCCAAATCTTTTTCCTGCTTCTCGCTGCCATGTACTTGATCCTTGGGACCTGTGAGACTGTTCACTTCTCTGTGTGGGCAAGACCCTAGTTTCTCACCGTGGTTCCAGTCAGCTGTGCTGCTTTCCCTCTGAGGCCTAAAGTTTGTCTCTTTTCGTCTGTCTCCCTCCGCACCTGTCAAGCTTCAGCCATCGCCAGTACCACATCATTAGTTAGATTCAGAGGATTAGAGCAATGATTAAGTTTCTTGAGGAGTAAATTAATGACATAATCCTGTGTGTAATTAGGGTTTACTCTAATCCTAATCTGTGCAGTCAAGATTTACACAGAAGGCTTGCATACACAAGTTCGCTGGCATTATACGTAGTCCGCACTTCTGGCAGCTGGGTGTCTTTCTTACCAGACACTTTGTACAGGGGTGCGGTACTCTGCCTTTCACACTGAAGCACGCAAGAGCTTCCTCGTCTGGCCTAGGCCTTCTCACACCTCGTCCTGCCAGGGGTCAGAGGACAAGCAGACAGTTCCCTGCGTTGGCACCTCCAGGTCACCATTCTCCTTTACTCTGGCTGCAGTGTGTTCTTCCAGCCTAATACCTGGAGTCTCTGTTGCCCTCTGGAATACCCCAGGCAGTGGGAGCAACTTGTGTTTGTTTTAAGATGAAAGATGTTATCGTGGGAGTTTTCTCCCAAAGCCTCGGACTGAGGGTCAGCGGCAGCGTTGGCCGTCTGGGCTGCAGTTGGGGTGCGCCCCCCACGCAGTCACCGTCCCTGCCCCGCGCTCCTTCGCACGGTGCACAGAGCCCCACTGGGCGGTGGCGCAGGCAGGCCGCTGCCTCTGCGGGCCCTGGCGGCCGAGGAGGGCAGGGCTTGCGCAGCTCTGGAGGAGCCGCTCCTTGGGGTTTGGAAACCTAAGACTTGAGAAATATTTTGAGCCTATTTTATCAGCAAAGGCATGGCAATTTTATTTCATTCCTTTCAGAAACTTCTCTCTTAGGCTTACAAAGGAGGGCTCAACATACTTCCCCTCGGAGTGGCGGGAGGGGCGCTCCCCACCGAGGACTGTGGTTTCCATTGAAGGATTTCCTCGTCATTTTGCATTTTTTAAGCTCTCATATATGCAAAATTAAGATTTTTTTAAATTTATTTTCCTATTCTGCTTGTAGCCCAGTAATATGTTTTCTTACGCAGTGACTATGTCAGGGCTTTTATAGCATTTTCATTTGATTTCATAAAACACAAATTTATTTTTTTAAATTTTCAATTCTCTTATTTATAAGTTTCGCTGAGGAAAAATAAAATGCAAATTGCTATTTTGAGGAAAAAATCACACTGATGTCTTGGGTATATTTAATGTAGAAAGATTTAAAATACTGGCGGTTTAACAATCCAAAAAAGGACTCTTTTCAGTAATGTCATAGTTTATTTATTACGTTAGTAGTCTCCCTTTGTTGAGGCCCTTACGCTGCTACCTGCTGCGCAGGCCGCGCCAGTCTCACGCTCGCAAGTGCTGGGGCACAGGCGCGCCTGGCACACCAGCCCGGCACCTCTCTTAGAGCTGCTGATCTTAAATGCTAGAGTAAGCAGTAGCTTTTGGTTAAATAAGTTGTGAAAAGGGGCTGGGAGTGTGGCCATCTGCCTCGCATGCACGAGGCCCGGGTTCTGTCCCCAGTATTTGTAGTGTGGAGAGACATACGCCATGTCATTCATATATATAATCTGATAAGTACATCATAGATTCATGCATATGCCCTAGTTTCACATGTAGCTCATAGTTTCATATACATATATGAAAAGAGCCACGCATGTTGGTGCACACCTTCAGTCCCAGCTCCTTGGGAGGGTGACAGTACGATTTCAAGTTCCAGGCCAGTGTTTCAGAAGTGCCCTGTTTCAAAAATACCATTTTTCAAAAGGCAAGGACTAAGAAACTCTCTGGGTCTAATCTCTAGGACTGAAAAAAAATCTGAAAAGATGAACTTTTTTTTTTAGCACAGAGTCTACAGGGCGTACAGGGTCTCGCAGAGTAAATCATACTCATAGTGATCTCCTGTTTACAGCCTGCCAAGAGCTGGGATTACAGGCCTGCGCCACCATCCCGTCACCATCACTCTCTCAGTGGGCCCTGGGGGTGCACTGAGACTATGGAGACTGGGCATGGTGGTGGCACCAGAAATGCCAGCTCTTGGGAGGCTGTAAACAGGAGATCATTACAAGTCGGATCAAGTAGTGAGACCCTGAACACTCTGTAGATCCCTCCCTAAAATTAAAAAAAAAAATTATTTGAACAAAACCCATTTGAGAAAAATCACGTATGTTGGAGAAAAAGTCTAGAATATGCCCGAGGTCCACTGTCCTCTTCAGATCCACGAGGGACAGAGGCTAGTCAGGCCCAGTGCACAGCCCCTGTGCAGCTCCACAGAGCCCCTCCAGGAGCCTGTTCCGTCTCTCCATGTTCCTGGTCGCTGTCCCCATCCAGCCTTGTTCTGCTGCCCTTTCCCAGGGGAGCTGCTGTTTTTCACCTTTCCATTTTCTCCCGGCTGTGAAGGCCTTTGATCTCCTCTGAGTATGGAGTTGCATGCAGCCCCTGCACTTTCCTTGCCTGCCTTTCCCGTGCCATGCTTCATGCTGTGTCCTCAAGTCCAGCAGAAATCGGCCCATCCAGAGACGAGCAGGCTGCCCGGAAGTCGGGCCAGCACCTCCCTGGGGTGCTTTGGCTGCCTTTTGTCATGAATCCAAATGGTTATTTGCTAATCAGTTGGTTGATAATGGTGGAAATAACAGCAGCGGCAACAGTAACGACAGCTGGCATTTTGTAAGAGCCGCCTGGTGCCAGGCACTGTGGAAAGTACTGAACACATTAATTGGGCCTTGCACAGGTTGACCAAGTGACTGCAAAGCCACCTTACTGGCATCACTAAGAACTCAGCTGCATCCGCACAGCCATTTTGCTAACCATGAAGTTTCATACGTCAGATGGTTTTGTTCAGGAGTTCATTTGGAAGGGATAAAGATGAATACGGATTTAGGCATTTAAAGTAGAAAACTTCTTTGGCTTTTGATGGGCAGAGAATACAAATAAACCAGCAACTCTTCCGTCATTCCCCTGCTCACTTTCCTTGCCTCCTTTCTTTTCCTTTCCACAATGAGGAATATCTGGTGAAGACATTCTAGGGCTGCAGCACCAGTCAGCATTTCCTTTCCCTCAGGAGTCTAGCAGTCTCCCCGGAACTGGTTTCCCATTCTGAGGCCAGCGTTGCCCACTCTCTGATCCCCGTAAGACTGCAGCAAGGAAGGCTTGGTGGCCCCAGACACTGTCCTCACCTGGCGGCAGACCCGTGCATCCTCGCTTAGTGAATCAATCACAGCCAGCCTCATCTGCATGGAGGGCGCGAGGGGTCCACCAGAGGGGTCTTTGGAAATTATACTTTTCGCTCTGCTTTGAAGGAAATTGAGAGGAAAATGGAAAGCTGGGGAACTTGAAGCTGTCCCCACGTGGTGATGGGTAAAGCAAAGTGACTTTTTTTGTTAGCTTTGGTGAAAAGCTGTAGCCCCTCAGGGGACTGCTATCAGTTTGAGTAATTAACTCATGATTATGCAAAGATAATTTATCTACCTCTTTGTTTTTTTTCTTACCGCCTTGGGCTACTTCATTCCTTGTTACTGTCTTTACCACGTCAGTGCTACGGGAAAGGAAAGTGACAGGGGTGATGAACAGATCTGAACTGAAGATTCTCATTAAACATTTGGCTCAAAGAGAAAAGATATTAAGATAATTTATTTGGGCAAAAGTTGTTTTCTCTTAAGAGTGAATATACAAGAATTTTGTAAAACAGTTTCTCAGAACAGTTATTTCAGGGGTCAGCTGTATTGAGTAAGTCAAATCAAACAATGTAATCAATCAGAATAATTCATGATACGTCTCATCATGGATGAAATCCTTTTTTACACACGTGGTCCTTAGAATGCTTAATGTGTAGCAAGGATTTTTTAAAAACTCTTATTGAATATATTGGATGGCTAATAATAGTTTTGTGAGCTAAGATGTGATGGCAGTTATTAATACTTTTAAAATGAGAAAAAAGGTTTGAGTTTTACCTAAGGATCATATTGATACTTAGCTTTGTCTTTTTTCAGCATGAGCCCCTTCAGCAAAAGGAAGGTATTAGTAAAGTCATTTTCTGTTTCGAACAGTAATTTTGATTTATCAAAGGACTTTTTTGAGAAAGAACTGCTATAGTGTATTTCCTGTGCTGACAAGCATCTCGGGTCTGTGTAGCTTTTTTCGTGAATACAGATCCGGCCCCCTCTCAGGCACTGTTAGCCAGAGAGCCTGCCCACCAGAAGAGAGCCTGTGTGAGGGGCAGTGTTTTGAGAAGCCTAGAAATTGCTGGAGGCAGGCACTGGTACCAGATTCCCCTACTCTGCTTGTGCACTTTACCTTTGTCTTAAGATACTGACAACAAAAAACGTTCTTTTCCTGAGAATTTGTTTGATTTTGAAAATCAGTTTTGGTTAAAAGAAGTGAGTAGTTTCAGTTAATTACAGTCAATACTGGTCACTTACTGTGTGCTGGGTACTGCGTGAGGTCTGGCAGCTGGGAGTGGAGGAAAAGCAAAACCCTCGCAGTGAAGGGTCACAGTATTTGATGTTGGGAAAGGACAGTGAGCAGTGCCTCCTAACTTCTCACGTAAGGCGACAAGTTGCTGCGGGAGCAGGGTGCACCTGCAAGTGCGTGTGCCACGTCCCCAGGTCCTGAGCGCAGCCCTCTTCTATAGCGCATGTTATCATCCGCCAGCTGCTGAATGCGCATGCGCTATCCTCACCAGGCCTCTGCCCAACAGGCCCCAAAGAGCACCAACTGGAGGGCTGGGATGTCTGCGTCTGCTCTTTGCTTTCCTGTGCCCGTGACAGAACGTCGCCTGGGACCTGAGTGCATAAGAGTATTTGGTGGACTAGGGAAGGAATGTGTTGGTACAAGGTGGTCAGGGCAGGCCAAGCTGTCACCTCCAGAGGGGTGTGACCGGGCAGCGTGAGCAGAAGGGCTTGCAGAGCTGAGGAAGCACACGTGAAACCAGCGCTGTTGGGAGGAAGCACAAAGGGGGTTGGGCAGAGTGCTGTCGCTATAGTTGTTCTTCTGTCAGGAGCAGCGGGAAGTAAAGGCAGGGGTGACAAGTAAGAGGCTGTGACAGAAACGGAGAACTGACAGGCCCAGGTGTAGCGGTGAAGGCAAGGTAAGGTGGGCAGATCCTGTGACCGGGCTGGATGTCCAGTGTGAGGGCAAGCAAGGTGTGTAGCTGGTCGGCCTGATGGGTATGAGGGGCCGAAACAGGCCGGCTGGCTGTGTTGTGCTAGGCAGGTGTCCTCCACAGAACTGTCAAGCAGAAGTCAGTGCCACTCTAGAAATAGAAATCTGGGAAGGGTGAACCTGTAGGTAGTACCTTAAGTGCTGGGACCTGGCTTTGAGTACTTCAGCATGGTGTTCAAAGATAGGATCACTGAAGCCAGTGGAGGACATCTGACAAGTGGGGAGGGACGGCTGGTAACTTCTCTGCCAAAGTGGAGACGATCCTTTTGAGTACCTGCTGTCCAGAAGAGCAGGGATTGGCTCTGTACCAGGAGGGGAGTGGGGTTAGAGAAGGCTGTTTTTAAAATTAAGCTTATTGGTACGTTTTCGGTGTACACGATGGTCTTGTTCGTCACAGGGAATTTGTGCTGTAGATGATGTGTCTTGGTTCTTTAAGGGACGTTTTTTAAGGTGTAGGAAACTGTGATGTATTTCTGTACTAAAAGAAACATTCAATGAAGGATAACTGAACAGGAGAGACAGGGAGCCATGAGGAGTGTGTGCTTGAGTAGGTTTCACATCCAAGTTGAAGAACAGAGATGCATTATAAAGTAATTAGCCAGTACGTGCCTGCACTTCTTAAACGTGTTGATCACTTATGACGGGAGGCTTTACCCCGAGGTGACCTGACTTCAGTAGCAACTAACAACAGTAGAGAAGCCCCTATTTTTCTAATACCACAGGGACAGGACATGCTGGCTTTTGGTTTTGCTTATGGTGGGTTTTGTAGCTTACTGTTGCATTTGTTTCTGAAATAATTTTCTGGTGATTAATGATAAATTATTTCTCAGATGGAGAAAAATAATTCTTTCCACTTCAAAGATGTTTTTCTATTATTTTTGTGAAATGGCTACATCATTGTTCTCCAAAGTCAGTGCAGTTTGTGGTCATCATGGGTTTTTCCATAAAACTTAACATAATGGTTCACAGAAACCCCCACAATTTCATGGAAATAGTCTCTGTAGTTGTTTTTCTGGCCGGAGGCTTACAAGTAGCCAGCGGAGCGTTAGGCAGTTCTCCTTGCTGCTGCGTGGCGGCGGCTGCCCCAGAAGCCATCTCCAGAAGACGCGCCAGCATCCCACATCCTGAGGGCTGCCGTACTGCGCGCAGCTGTTGCAGGGTTGCACTTTGTTCTTTAAAGCCTTATGCCACGAAAACTTTGCGCTTTTGAAGGCTTTATTATTTTATTAAATTTATATAACTGGAGACATTTAGGGTTTAAACTGCAAAAATAGGCATTTATTTAAAGTTTTTTTTCTATCTGCAATTTGCCATTTTTCATAATTTATAGGTGTTTACGAACATAACCCCATGAATTTGGGGCGTTCGCGGTAGTATATTCCTATCTTGATTTTGTTTTTCTTAATTTTTCAGGCTGGAGTGAGACAGCTTTATGTGCAGATTGACTATGCCGTCATGTAGTGAATAAAATTATTCTTTCTGGACCAAATTCTTCTGGTACTGTACAATCTAAAACATTGTACCCAGCTCTTTCAAATACAGAAATCATCACAACTCAGCACCAAGTGACTGGTGTACTCCGTGGGGCGCCCCAACCGAGACGTCACTCGTGGGCTTCTGGTCTTCGCGCTCCTCCCCGCCTTCCTTCCCGCTGATCTGTGAGGTGGCTGGTTTGTTCAAGGGGGTTGGCTCGTCCTTGTGCTGGGGAGGGAGGGAGGGAGCAAGGGCGGTGGGTTTCGTGCCATGTGCCCATCCCTCATTCCTGCCAGTGAGGAATTCAGACTGTGGGCCTCCGACCATCCGGAATGTCTTCGCTAAAGCTGCTGGAAATCACTGCTTTTACTCCCACAAAACCAGTGGTATTAAAAAAAGAAATGGAAATCTGTTTTATATGTAATGTCACCGGTGTTGACACTCTTCAGTGTAATCATGTTTGTAGAACTGTTTGTGCCTTGCAAACTTACGAACAAACCACATTGGGCTTCCAAGTGCCTTGGTGTCAGGAAACGCGTCTGCCGGCGTGGAGCTGCACCATCACGGTCGTGTATTTTCTTTAAATGGCAATTGTGTCATCTGTACAAAGGAAGACTGGTGTACGGATGTCGGTTTACGTACTTCAGCATACGTTTAGATACATGAAGTTTTTTTATTGTTCTATCTCATCAAAGGTGTTATCTTGCTCTTTAAAACAAATTGAATAATCACATTAAATTACTTTGTGAACTGTGTTTTCAAAATTTTATAGATGCATTTGTGAGAAAACTAAGTTGCTAAATTCCAAATTCCTGTAAAGGTCGGGTCTATGATTCACACATTTTATTAATGACAAGAGGCACTGTAGACTACAGGCAGAAATAGTTGACAGTGCTGTTTTGTGCTTTCATTCTTCAAATGCCAAGTTGTACGACCTTTTCCTGCTTTGTGCGAATACCCCTGCCGTCAGAATCCTGTGGTAGCCCTTGGCTGTTTGAACTCCTACGGGCATGCAACAAGTTTTGGTGAGGCAGACTCTTTAACACAAACATCTTAGAAGTAAATAGTGTTTAGGTATTTGAAAATAAAATCACAATTTGACATGTCGAGACCTTGAACACTCAAGTAGTCCCTGTATGTTATGCAAGTGTGATTTAGCTACATTATTTACCATTGGGTTTCATTTTGTAACGTAGGCCCATTTGAGGTTTTGACAATTGAAATCGTTGAGGAGAAGGCCTTTTAGGGTAAAAACGACTGCTCAGAGTATAGGCCAACAAAAGTGCTTCCTAGTGAGGCAGCAGAGGCTCTACCACTTGGTACAATTTATGAGCTATTCCATTCTGTATCACATAGGCAGAGTGACACCACTTTCTTCATGCTTTCCTAAGCTACTGTGAATTGCCAATGAAATGACCTTAGGTTCCTTTAATATAAGGAGATAACCCGAAGATTCTGGTCACTGCCTGGCCATTGTAAAACAGAATCTATGTTGGAAAAAGATGTGGAGGCCTTCTAGGAGGACAGCACACAGCCAGCGACATGGCAGGCACCAGCTGTGCTTCTCGTTGCAAGCGGTCATCTGGAAGTTTGAGCCAGGACCAAGTCTGGTAGGACTTTGGCTCCTTCGTGGGCTTGGGCGTCTTACAGAAACGGCAGGTTAGGTGATGGCAGAGACGCGGGTGTGCGCCTTTACACGCTGGTTATGTGTAACTGCAGCCACAGTTCAGCATGGAGATACCTGTTCTGCTTTACCCAACTTCCCGGTGCACCTGAAAGATCCAATTCTGCCTTTCAGTGAGTGGTTCCAAGTGGAGCTTGCCAAAGGGCAGCATCACTTCCTTCTGCGCCTCACTTACTGCCCAAGTCCATGAATTCTTTCCTTGAAACAGTAGTGTTAGATGTGACATTAATCTTACACCTGTTACCAAGAGATCACCAGGTTATATGTCATTTAACAGGTTGGCATCACCATTTATACTTTACAGTTTACCTGTGTGTACGACAGGAAAAAATCAGTAAGGAACAACCTCTGGTCCCTAGAAACACTTCGTGTCGCTGTTCCCGCCACAGATGCATCACAGAAGCAGTTATTTCACTGAGAACAACCACCTGAGTGGTTATAAATTTAGAATTTGGTGCTCCTGACACTCCGTTACCTCTTACAAAGCAAGAGCTACGTATCTGAGTGTAAATTTGCCAATATTTTAAATACCATAGGGGGAAATACTGTGTTACTTAGGGAGAGTTTACTGAAGGACGGCACCTAGCTTACCTGTAGGTTAGGGCTCCGGGTGTCGGCACCAGTGCCATCACTGGCAGCAGGGACACAAGAGTGCTGGGTGGCAGACGTCACTGCTCAAGCATTCTTCAGAGCCTACACGTACACACCGGCAACCCCAATACTGTGACTTTTGTGCGCCTCGCCTAAGCAGTCAGGCCATTAGCGCAAAACGCTGCTTGAATGAGTTTCCTACTGTGGACTAAGATTTTACAAAACACATCATGGTGAGGCTTAAAAGTACAACATTGCTTAACACACAACTTTGCAAGGACTGCGCTCAGTAGACCAGCCTACCAGCTTACAAATGAGGAAGCGGAAGCCCAGAAAGCTGTTGTGATTTGAAAGTCACAGAAGTAACCAGTCCAGGCAAAGCCCAGGCTCAAATGCAGACGTTCTGACTCCAGGTCAGTACTGTTCTTTATTGTGCTTTCTTCCCAGTGTAACACTGGCCTTTCCATAAATGTGGGTTAAATATTGTTTGTAAATAAAGGCCATATGGAGCTCCATTTTTTGGTACGAGGCACTTTATAAATTTTGTCTTTATTTTTCATAGCTAATTATGAAGTTTACTTCCTTTTTTGGAATTTTGGACAACCTTTTTACTTTTAGGAAGCCAGTTTCTTTTAGATAAATCATGACATTTGATGTGTACAAGGGATACTTTTAACACATGGGTGACTTGGCCGCTTAGTTTCCTTAATCTTTTGTAGTCTGTAAGATTCTTAGAAACCAGATTAATTCCTAGATCCTATCATTTCAGTCTTGCCATTTGGCATTTTTAAAATCATTGTAAAGCTTTCTTATTCTAAAGATTCTCACATCTGTACAAAAATAGGCATTAAGTATTCTATAGAACAAATCTTTTAATTCAGTAAAGTTAGAAGTTTTATCAGAATTCGACATGCTAAAACACTATTTTCAACTCTTCAGACTTCTCACCAATTTTTAGAAATTATTTTCCAATTCATAAGAACCTTGGGAAAAAGAAATTATTTTATCACCATTTCCAGAGGTGGCTCCCTCAGAGGCCCTGAAGGTTCAGGCCTCTACCGTAAACCAAGTCATATTCAAAGACGGGATAGAGGGCTGGCCCAATAGCTCAGTGGATTAAAGCGCTTACAAGCAGGTGCAGGGACAGAGGCTCTATCCCCAGGCCTGCCATGCCCCCCCCCCCCCGAGATGGCAATTGAGACTGGGTGTGGTGGTGCACGCCTGTAATCCCAGCTCGTGGGAGGCTGTAGACAGGCGGATCACTACAGTCTGGTCTAGCAGTGAGACCCTGAACACCCTGTAGACCCTTCCCTAAAATAAAAAAAAGACGGTATCTCCCATCACATGAGTATTGGCAGAAAGTAGTCTATTTCATAGCTGAATAGATGGAACCTTTTTCAGGAGTGTACCTTTGGCTAATGCTTACTCATTTCCTGACTTCAAATTATGCACATAGCAAAGGGAATGACCTGTATGAAGTACCGGGCATGGGCCTTCTGACATCCCACATGTAATCCTCGCCTATCTGTTAAGAATTGTAATTTGGCATGATTTTATGATTCAGTGTATTTCTGAATAGTTTCTAGTTCTCATAATGTTGGACAGGAGGAAATCTTCTCCCCCATTAGAGTCTGGGGAAACACTCATTCCAGATCCACAGCCTCTTCCGTGTTCAGTCACTGAGCGACCCTGCGGAGCATCTCCCTGGTGTGTGCAGGTTCAGCCCCAGACAAGAAGGATGTTTGCGGGAGCCTCCCACAGTCCTGCGCAGACTGCTGCCGGCTGAACAGTGAGGACAGCTGCTGTGCCTGTGTGTACTGCCCTCTTCACACTCTTACATTTATTTCCTACCTTTGCCGCTGATCTAGAGTCGTGCAGAGTACAGGCCTAATCAGAACTCCTTGTGCACTTCTAAAACCATCTGAAAGCACAGACAGCTTCACTGGCACTCGGAGTAAGCTGCCTCAGGGACCGGCTCACAAGGTGGTGTCCGTGGAAGCATGAGGGGTGGACACCGTCTCTGAGACCTAGCTCGACACTAGCAGGCAACTGGCTTGCAAGAGGCATGAGTCATTTTGCACTGCAGGAGAAAGATTAGGATCTGATTTTCATTACACTTTCTATCTACTTTCAAAACAAATTATTTCACAAATAAAAATCTACATTATACTTTCACAACAGCTTGAAAATTTAGTTTGCAATTCCGATCTTGATGTAAAGAAGAATATCCTTTTTTTTCTTTTGGCAGGAACCGGGGCTTGAACTCAGGCCCTTGGGCTTCCAGGCACGTGCGTATTCAACTGAGCCATGCAGTCCTTTATTCCCGAACTCAGCATGAATTTCCCAAGACAAGCTCACTGCTCCAGATATGTTAGCACCCAAAACCGTTTCGGGGCACTTCTTGAGGTGCTTCTGTAACACTGTAGTTATTAAGTGATTTTAGCATTACTAGAATACTTTTGGCCTTTTCTTGTCATTTCTCCAAGTGCACAACTTCAGTAGGACAGTCCAGCATTCACTTGCTTTGAAAGGGTCACGCGCTTGAGCACCTGAGGTGCGCTGCCATCTCCTGCTGTGCGTCACCTCCGTGAGAACGTTACCTCCCTCCATGAGAACGCCACCTGAACCAGGCGCAGGACCCTCCAAGGCCGCCAGGTGCCTCCAGTGCATCCTCACAGCAGCATGTGCGCGCTCCCCAGCTGTCTCTAGTTTGATAAATAAACTCGATGGGTGTTTTATAGTAGAAATATTGTCAATGAAAAGATGCCAAGTCCATCCCTTCCTAGATACATTCTAAATGGCCTTACCATGCTTTATTTACCATGAGTATGTGACACCAGAACATTTCTGAAAACATCTGTGGGTGGGGATGCCCGCTGGAGACGGGCTCGAATTTTGCGGCTGTGCCCGGAAGTGTGCTACAACAGACCTGGACTGTGCCTGGCTGTTTCTGCATGCACACATTCGCACACTGTGTCCAGCTCAGGGCCCAGCGCTGCCAGTGCTCAGCAAGCACAGCTTCCTCTGAAAACGCCCCCAGCAGTCCCTGCACGGAGGCCGGCAGCTGTGAACTCGGAAGATCAGGGACTTTCTGCTGGCAGCTCTGTGGCTCCCGAGCTTGGACTGCATGACTCGCGTGGGTCCAAATGTCGGCCGCGAACTGAAATAGTAAGCAAGAGCATTGTACCTAGAACCCTGCATTGCTGGCCAAAGACCAAAGGACCACGCGAATCAGGACGCAGTACAGACGGGGAGCCCAGGAGAGCGTCCTCAGCATGGCTAGAGCACGGGGACCACCCTCACGTCACTAATGCTCGCGTGTCCGCAGACCTCAAGGGCCACGCCAGCCAACAGAATGCTTCTGAGCTGCAGGCTGGGGGGCATAAAGCCAAGACTGACCCAAACAGACCCGGAGCCCACAGAAGGGAACGGTAACGGCAGCGGGCCCTCAGCAGGGGCCTGCCTGCTACAGCAAGAAGCCTCACTCCTCTGTACAAGTTACACAAGACTCAGTCTAGCTAAGAAACTCAAAATGTCCAAGTTACCATCCAAAATGAGCTGACAAAGTCCTACAAAAATGTCAACTTGAAGAGCATGTCAACAGATACCCAGGCTTGGCAAGATACCTTGCCATCAAGGTTGGAATTGTGGAATAAAAATCATATAACATGCTCAAATACGCAATTACAAGTAATTTGTACAATGTTAAGCAGCAGGTGGAAATACTAGAATAACCAAGTTTTCAGCACATTAAGTGGACTCAGCAGAAGGCATCAATGAGCTTAAAGAGAGAACAGTACAAGGTATCCACTGAGCAACAATGAGAACAGCTTTTGGGGCAAAACCCACAACAAATAAACAGTGAACAGAATTAGCTAACATTACTATTATCAGAGTTCCAAAAAAAAATGTACATAATTCCAAAAAATAAAATTTAAAAAAAAGAATGCACAGCAACTTCCCAAACTGGGTCACATAAGCCTACAGATTCAAGAAGCTGGGCAAAGGAAATAGGATAGTCTTAAAAACTGTACTGTATCAGCGTTCTAATCAAAATCTCACCAGCTCTTATGGCTATCAATGAGGTCATTCTCACATTTATATGGAAAGCCAAACTGGGCAACTAAAACAATTTTGGAGGCTGGCCGAATAGCTCAGCGGATTAAAGCACCTGCAAACAGGCCCTGGGGCCGGGGGTTCAATCCCTGCTCCTGAGGCACACTGAGAGGGCAACTGAGACTGCGCGTGGTAGTGCATACCTGTAATCCCAGCACTTGGGAGGCTGTAAACAGAATCACTGAGTCTGATCTAGTAGTAAGACGCTGAACCCCCTATAGTCCCTTCCCTAAAATACATAAACATTACAGTTTTGGAAACAAGTTAAAGGAACCACGCTGTTTCTAAGATTTATCATGAAGCTAACAGAATGTGCCACTGCAGAGGAAGAGACACACAGATCCACAAAACAGCAAGAGGAGCCTGGAAGTAGGCCACTACAACTCAAGGTAAGGAGGGACCCTGTATCACGTGGTATAGGAGCCCTGGACGTCCACAGTACAGAACAATGCAACTCAACCTAACCTCCCACTTCACACGCACAGCTCAACCATCACAGGCACAGGTGCAGGACAGCTAGAACATCTCGTGAGAAGCACAGAAGCCCTGGTAATCAAGGGCAACGCGCCTACCCAGCGCACACAACGTGACATTCTGGGTCCAACCCGTATCGCCACAAAATTGCAAAGTACAACACCCACATTGAAGAGCTGAAAGTTGCTCTCTTGAGGTGCATGCAGAAGTCTGGGTGCCTGATGAGGGCTGTTCGCCTGCTGTGGGCTCCGCGTGCCTTCAGCAGGAGCCCATCACACGCGGCGTGGAGCGAGTGGCGGGGAAGGCCGCCTCGGCAGCCAGGCTGCAGCACCAGGCCAGGAGGGCTTGGTTCACAATTCACAAATGTCTGCTTTAATGCCTCAGAAGAGAATGCTCTAGAACCGACTCAAAAGTATGTGGTCTGAGCCGGCAAGATAGCTCAGCACTCTAAAGCACCTGCTTAGGCAAACTTAGGCAAATGAAGGGACTGCGGTTCGATCCCCAGCACCACGTGCTGCGCCAACCCTGCCCCCAGGGTGGGCTGAGCCGGCCACGTCAGCCACCAAAAAAAAAAAAAAATGTGGTTCTCTACACTTTTGTGCCTAGCAAACTGAAAATGGGTTATTTCAAAATCTTTAATCCCAAAGGAAGTAAGTAAAAAATCTCTAGTTTATCAGTTATACCAGGAAGTTGGGGAGTTTTTCCTCAAATTTTAATGAGTTTACTAAGTGAAGAAGTCAAGCTGATTAGGTCACAGAAACCCTCAGTTTGGCTAATAGAACTCGCACGTGGCAAAGCTACTTTTAGTCTAAACAAAACATTAAAACTATGATCATGAAATATAATAAATTTTTAAATGTGAAAAAAGTGAAAGTGAGATTGTGCATGTATATATGATAGCATATTAGTGGAATTAAGTGATATGACAAATCTTGTCAATCTAGTGTCACTGTCAACCCGAATTATTTTGTAGTAAGTGTCCCACTCATCTGTGTGAACATACCAGACAGCAACTGTGCATGACTGGCTGCGCGTTCTAAGGAAAGAACATGCAGCAGAACGTGCATCCTGTAGCTGGGACGGCGGCCAGCAGTCAGTGCAGAAGGGCGCCACTGTGCCCGCAACTCCCCGAGCTGCAGGCCGCTGGGCTAGGCGCAGGGCTCTGCTCACCTCTGCTTCTAGGTGCTAGTACCTGCTCTGCCACGAAGCCACCCTGCAGCTAGGACAGCTCACCTTTTATGGAGAAGGAAGGTCATAAAAACAATACACCAATGGTTACCAATCGCACTGCTTTTGTGGCCGTGCTACAGTGCTCACACTCTAAGAAGCAGGGCTCAAGTGCCTCACACCCTGGCTACCTTTAGGCTGCGCTTTTGCCGTGCCAGCCACCTGTACTAACCCACTGTGTGGCCGTCCACCCACACCTTTCCAGCTCGGTCCACTACATCCTGCAAAGCTGCCAAAACGACATGACCAACAGCATCACAGGTGGACTCATCGCCATGGGATGCCAAACAGTGCTGAGGCAACTCCTTTCTTTTGGTCACTTGTTATTATTACTTTTAGACAAGCCCAAAGATGTGCTTATCCACGCCTGCCTGATCCATGTGCGGCAACGGCAGCTGCCGCATCCGTGTCCCTCAGTCCTTTTCTGGTATGGGGAACAGACTGAGCATCTCCATCTCCAAGGGGTGCAGGTGGCCCCCCGTGACAACCAAGGACTGCAGTGGGCCCCCGAGGTCCACAGTGCACATCTGCCGCAAGGTGCCGGCCGCAATCTTCTGGTCCTCAGCTCCCACCCTGGCTAAACCAACACAGATCGTCTCCTCGGTGATTGCTGTCAAGAGAACAGATGCAGCCGCTTAGTTCAGGAAACACGAGTCTGCTCGACACTGACGAACATTAGTACCACAAATTTATTGCATAAAGCCCCAAATACCTTTTCGCTTTCTTTTTTGAGGCAGGATCTCACTATGTGGGTTAGGCTGGCCTTAAACTCACTACATAGCCCAAGCTGACCTGGAACTCATGGTGATCCTCCTTCCTCAGCTTCCTGATGCTGGAATTATAGGGGTGCACCACCATACTTGGAAAAGCCCCAAGTATCTTTAGCCACTCACTCCAGACCAGTTATTGTATCCCCTGAAAATTCCAAAGGCCTACATGAGTCTAGGTTATTAAGGACCTGAAAAACAGTAACTCCATCCACAGTCCTTACAACTGCACACTATTTGTCTTAAGCAGATGCTGAACACGAACATGTTTAGGACATACTTGTACTTTTCATAAATTCTTGAAGCTGGACACAGTAGCACACGTGTGTAATCCCAGCACTCAAGAGCCTGAGGCAAAGCATTAGCTAAAGGCCACCCTGAAATGAGCTACATAGCAGGACCCTATCTGAAAAACCAAAAATAAATAAATAATAATAAGAAATACAAATAAATTCTTTAGGTATGTTCATACTGAGAAAGATATTGGAGAAAAACCACAGGATGTGAGACAAATACATGGATCTGAGTTTCTGCTTGCCTAAGTAATCAGCTATGTGTCAAACTTCAGTTTTTCTCTCAAACACCAATGCTGTCTCGAGTGGCGGTGATGCGGGTAAGATGACGGGAACAAGGCCGAGTAAACGAGGGTGGGAGCCTTGGCAGGGCTTATTGTGGTACAGTTCACTCTGGCTCACAGCTGAAAGGCCAATCTTCTAACTGGTTTTATTATTTTTTCTTTTCAAAAGAAAAGAAGGGCCGGGGAGAAAGTTCAGTAGAATAAGTGCTTGCCTGGCAAGTGCAAGGGCCTGAGTTCAATCCCGTTCTGCCAAAAAAAAAAAAAAGTTCATTGAAAAAGTAAAAGTAAAAAGGAAGGGAAAAACGGGCTCTGCAAAGCGAGCTGGAGCCAAGTAAAAGAGGAAAAGGCAAGATAAAAGGATGTCCTGGAGAGACAGGGTGGGCCCTCATAGTCCTGTTTACTTGGGAAAATTGTCCTGATTGGGAAGTGATCAAAACGGGGCAATAAGCTCTGCACACTGAGGCGTGAGAAATGAACTTCAAGGCTGGCCTGTAACTTGGCAAGACCGTCTCAAAAGAGCAGATGGCTACAGGTGCAGCTCTGCGGCCCAGCAACGCTGCGCTCAATCCCAAGCTCTGCCCCAGTGACCATCTACACAGGAAAAGGTTCTGGATGAAGAAAACCTGCGCAGACTCTGAGCTCTGCAAGTGGACCAAGGCCTACAACGGGGCAAAACAAGCAGGGGTCACTCACGAGTCTCTGACTGTGTTCTGTGAACAGAGGACAGGCAGGCAAGGGCAGGCAGCACCCTTGCAACAGAACACGACAGGTTTAAAAACTTCTCAATAAAGATTTACCGGATTACACACTTTAGTATGTGTGTAAAGTATAAGTCTACTAGGAATGGGAGGCTAAACTCTAGTCTTTACCTGAAGAAAAAGCAGCAAAAATGTGTTTTTGTAGGATAGATTTTATCACTGATTAGGGCAAAAATTGAAGTTCTCTATTCATTTATTTTATTAATTAATTAATTTATTTACTGGCAGAAGTAGGGATTGAACTCAGGCCCTTGTGCTTGCCAGGCAAGCGCTTATTCTACTGAGCTATCTCCCCGGTCCTAAAGTTCTTTTATACCTTAAGGTGTTTACCAAATGTGGGTATATTTAACTGGTAAGACAGTTTTATTTTCTAGAATTGTGTATAAAGAACTCCATTATTTTGTGGTTTTTTTCTATACAATTGGAAACCTGTGGGGCTTAAGTTAAAGTTCTAAAACAAAATGAAGAGAAATACAGTACAAAGCAAAAGCAATGACTCAGGCTTCCACCAGGGCATTAATTCAAACACGGTTCTCAGTGGGACAGTTAGGTAGTCACAAGAGGGCCCTCGGGTTGTCAGTACCTGGTTCTTCCCCTCTTCCTCGTCGATTCTGGACAATTTCCAGAAGCTGCTGGGCTGCTTGGTTTACGCTCATGTATCGAGGCGGCTCATAGATCTTCCTTCCCCTGCAGGTGCCAAAGCAGGTGCCGCCATTCTTGGCCATGAGCTTGCACAACATCTCAGTGCCATACCCCTGCATGCACACACGCAGCCCACCTCTGCCATACACCAAAGCACGTGTCCAATGAAAACCCAGCAACTAATCAATGTCTATACCAAAGCTAAGGTTCATTCAAAGTGATGCCTTAAACAAAAATAATTTTAAGTAAATATCAAGTTATACCATAATTTAGGCTAGGTTCTACAGTGTTTTTTTTAATTTTTATTTTTATTTTTTGTGATGACCAGGATCAAAATCAGTATATATATGCCAGGGAGCTTTTGTGAACATGTTTAAATTACTTATTCCTTTTTCACTTCTGTCTCTAAAGAAGGAAAACAAAGCAATAAAAACCTGAACAGTAGGCCGGTGAGATAGCTCAGTGGACTAAGCACCTGCTTGGGCAAGCACAGCGCCTAGGGTTTGATCCCCGGTCCTGTGGCACACTGAGCCACCGACCGAGTCTGAGCGCGGTAGTGCACACCTGTAATCTCAGCACTGAAGAAGAGGCTGAAAACAGGAGGATCACTGTGAGTTCAAGCTGCATAGTGAGACCCTGCACCACATACGTAAAATGGAAACAAACAGCTGCGAGATACTGGGCAGTCTATGTTATCTCTCTGGGCCTCCAGGCTATCAGTCTACCCAATGATCATCACAGTAAACACAGCTCCTGACAGTTATAAAGTCAGCTCACAGCGCTTCCTGCACACACGCACAGAGCAGTAAGCAGTGCTGTCCTGGGAGGCACTCCATTTGCTAGAGACTTTACAGGTCACAGCACAATTTCAAATTTTCCAGCAACCATAGTAAAAGGTTTCAAAACGACAAAATTAATTTTACTAATATATTTTAACTCGAAAGATCCAAAACATATTAGTATTAATAAATATTGCAATGTTTTCTCACATAAAATTAAAACGGCAGCACGGCAGGGGGCACGGCACAACTCCTATGCAAATGTCCCCGCCCTGCTCCCTCCCTCCCATCATGCAGCCAACCTGCTTTCACTTGTTGTAGACGTCAAGTGTTCAGTCCCAGCAACGTGAGAAAGAGACTAAGATGATTAAAGTGCTGAATTTATGAAATCTGCTGCTTCTGGTTTATCACATTGCTTATCATTTTAGAATAAGTGTTTAATATTAACTATTAATGAAAGTTAATTTTTCAACAACGTTTCAACTCAAGTCATTTAAACAGAATTAACTGCTTTGCTAAAAAAATTTAAATAGGCACAAACATTCTTAGGATAAGAACTTACTTGATTAGATTTTCCAGAGACTGCTCCTTTACTTTGATGTCTGTAGGGAGAAAAAAGAGGTTCTTTAAATTTAATCCCTTAAATTTGAGTTGAAAGTCATCTAAGTTTTTGGAAAACATTTCTCAAGTTCCCAAAATGTCGATCTGAGAGTTAATGATACAGTCTGTCTACACTTACTATATCTAGGCACTCTGTTGTAGAAATTAGAGAAGAATGGAAGCTTGGGGTTGTATGCAGGACGCTAGCTACAAGCAAACCTGACCTTGGATCTGGGACCATACTGCAGGAATCTAATTTCCTGCTAGAAAAGATGGCAAAGAAAAAATCAGATAAATATTGGCACATGCTGAGCACATTTGCCTTTATCGCTGCTAGCCTGTAGCTGCACAGATTCCACCGAAGTCACCTGTAAGTGCAACCTGGACTTCTGAACTCTGTTTCCAGATGCTAGTTACAACTCAGATCATCAGCTGGAGGCTGGGGTCCTTCACGCGGCCCTCAAAGTCTCTCTCCCTTGCACAGGCAGACCGCGGTGTCCTCAGAGAGACAATGGCCTAGGACTTGTCAGCCCCACAGGGAAGGATGCTGTCCTGGTCCTTCCAGGACTGTTCAACAGTTAAATCTGTATGCGAGACCATACTCAGGTCATGGCTCAAGACTTCGCTCATAAATCTTATACTCTAGTCATCACCCACGTTGTTTGTATATCCATCTATAACTCGGGGGCCCTGTGTACCCCTAATTTTATGTACTTTTCAGGCATCAGAATGTAAAAGCTTCAAGGGACAATATAGCATTTTGAAAAGCAGCTTCTGCTCTCTGATGGTAAGATATTTCATAATTTTGAATACTTTAACACCAAGTGCTCACACTTCTACGAGGATGTTGTAGTTTGGGGCTTGCAAGGGGAACAACACAATACAGGCCACACAGTTTATAAGATGATTTTATAACAGTCACCCAAAGAATCATACACAAGCAAAGTGCAGGAAATCTGTCCACACACTAAAGACCGAAGAACGCCACCGAAGGCCTGGATGCCACAGCAATGTCCTGCGCGAGTGAGGCTGCAGACCTGGAGCCCATCACGGTGCCTCCCACAAGTCCAGCTGGAGGCCTAGCGCCCACGAAAATGTCTCGTGCAGGCCTGTTTCACGGATCTGCACTGGGAAGGCCCAAAGCTCAGTGGCGGAAGCTAGAAAGTCTGTGCCAGCAGGCTGAGGGGTCTGCACTGGAGCCAGGAAGTGAATCTCATGGTAAGCCCCTGGGCTCCCTTGACCAGTCCCACAGCCGTCCTCAGCGACAGTGAGGTCCCGAGCTCCTCCTGTGATGAGGACAGCCACGTTCCCCTCAGGAAAGCCAACGGGACAAGCTTCTCTAGGAGACGGAGCGGTGCACCATCTTCCTCTCTGGAGCCAGGAAGCGACGCTCAAGGTGAGGACCGGAGCTCCCTGAAAGTGAACCCAGCCATTCTCAGCAATAGACAGTTCCTGAGCTCCTTCAGCAATGAGAACAGCCAAGCCTATCAGGAAAGCCAGCAGGACCAGGTCCTCCAGGAGAACCAGCAGCTCCTATGGCCTCCCCCAGCTTTGCCTCTTCTTCCTCTCAGTTCTGTCTCTTATGCTGCTAGCAACACCCCGCACCATGCGAGCTCAATGCAGCTGGGTGTCACAAGCTGACCACCAGTACTGAATCTCCCACACAGGGGTTTCAGAGCACTATGTGTGAGACCCCATGCCTAGACCTAAATTACCACAGGGACTGTCCCAGATATAACCTCTGCTCTTGCGAAGCTCAATGGTCCACGCACTGCAAATATCTGATTCGCTACCCTTGCAAATCCCTGAGGCCCAGTTGAATTATTTGGTAAAAGGTAAAAAGCACAATCATTTAGGTCCTCACAGGAACTCTGCATACAAGGGCGAGAGCAAAGCTGCATCCTGATTGGCGTGCCAAGACAAATGGTTTGACCAAAGTGTGTTTTTGCAAAAATAAATATAGCACAATTGCATAGTCTCTTGATAAGACTTCTATAACTTTAAGTGATTATAAAGTTCTTCTTATGAAAGATACTGAACAGCTGTCTGCCACACACGCACAGATGTACTGTTCTAAGTGTTCCGAGACCGGTATTGCAACATGAACATTTGTACTTGCCAGTGCATATGGGAAGCTGCAAAATTAAGACCTGTTATAACCTCCAATATAATTAATGGTATATGTCAGCTTTTAGATTTCCTTTAAATGGTATTTGTAATGTACCATTAAAAAAGTTTAATATATTAGTTCAATCTGAGCTTCTGAAATATTTTGATAGTAAGATATTTCATATTTTCATTGTTGTTTTTTCTCTTTTTTAATGACATCACTGACAGAATGGGATTTCTCCCCAGTAGTGGAGACTGAACCAGGGGCCTTCACACTGAAGATCTTTGTGCCTAGACCTTTTTCTGCTTGGCTTTGAAACAGTTCACTAAGTTGCTCAGGCTGGGCTCAAATTCTAAATCCTCCTGCCTCAGCCTCCCAAGCATGGATAGTAGAGGTGTACAGCACCACAGATAATTAAGAATCTGATCTTCAAAATGAAGAGAGTTGGGAGAGCAAGTACTTTTTAGTTGAACTTAGGTTGCATTAATGAATTAGATGTACAATAGAATAGCATTACTGCTCTGCCCTGAATCCCCGCGGGCCTTCATTTTTTCTCTGTATACATGCGAGACTGAAAGTTTCTACTCCTCTCAGTATGGGGTCACATGAAGCACACAGCAGAAACCTCCTAAATGTCTCCTGAATACATTTATCACCTGACTCTCCCACACCCACTCACCAGTTCATCTTAAACTACCTACCACTTAAGAGATCTCTTCATGACTTCTCTGTTTCCTGTTCATGGACTTACTTATACAACTATGTTATCTTTGACTAACCTCATTAATTACATATATTGGTCTTATCTCTTTAAATAAAATTTAGGTCCCCTGTGGTTTTCTTCCCTGGTTTCCAGTTCATTCTCATGCATCCCTTGGGGGCTTGGCCCATGACAAGCATTCAATAAAGATTTACCAATTTAAATCATTACAAAGTCAGATGATGAAATGAGATCTAGGGCCGAGGGCTTGGGTCATGACATCCTATACTTCACCCGTTGTTCCTGTTTTAGTTAGTGGAGCAAGGTTATTGTTTAACTATGTTTGTCTCTTCCTGGCAAAGTTAAGAAAAGACAGTTCTTGGAGAACTCACAGGCTGAAGTTCTGGCTTGTCCTTCCTGTCTCTCAGTAACAGAACTTAACTGTTCTTTAGGCTTCCAAGTGCGTAACGTATTAGGGCAAAACTACATTTCAAAACCCCCTTGGTGTTTCAGAAGAGCCTAATTCCACCCTGGGCATGCAGTAACTCTAATACCTATGCACTGACTTGCTTGCGCTGTCAGCGCTTCCCCAAATAAAGGCTCCTTACTCCTCTAGTCACTGAGCTCTGACATGGTCCCATTTTGCATCCCTCATCAAATATACTCCATGTCTGCCATCAGCAAGTCTCTGGAACAGCTTTCCCTCCCACACCACCCGCCTGAGGCTGCAGCCTACCGCTGGCTTTCCTTGACCCTAAGCCTATACTAACAGGACAGCTCCATCTGATGGCCTGGGCCGCCCCAACTCATGAGTGCTTTACAGTGTTCTGGTCAGTGAGGACTATAAAAAAAGACCAGCCTCTTTGCACAGGGAAATTTCAAGGACAAAACTAATTAGTTAATCACTAGTGAAACAGTAAACTCTATGCACAATAAATAAGAAAATATATGCTAGCTAACTGTGTTATATAGGAATAAACCCAAAAAAGAAAACATCAGAAAACTACTGATGGTCTGAATCAGATCTAGAATTAATTTTTAATGAAAGTAAACTAGCATGTGTTAAAGAATTCTGTGTACCAAGGAGTAAGAAGACCACGTATGAGAACATGGTGAAAACTTTAACCAACGCCATGTCCGTATTTACTGAATAGCTACACTGCCAGATTTACAGACCCCTGGAAGAAAGCAATTACAGCAAAGTCCCTGCTCACAGGAAACAGGAAGAAGTCACCCCAGATGCGGAGATGTGCCGGTGTGTCTCGACTGTCGGCCCCCATGCCCGGGCCACCAGGGCACCACACTGATCCCCTGGGCAGCATGAGGTACGGCCCTGGAAATAGAGCTGGTCCCGACTCCATCTAATCCACTCCACTCACTACCTGGCATGAGCTGAGCAACTCTCATTCACCCTGCCCTTTGCCTTGTAGTTAGGAACCATGAGCTAACCCTATGAAATGACGACCCGAAACAAAACTCTTAAGTGGCAGGTACTTTATTCCAGAGAAAAATGACTGATACAGAAAAAAGCTAAGTAGGAAGACTATGCAAAAAGAAATAAGAGTAATGGGAAAGAGGTGACAGGGGCTTTGGTACATAGGATTAGATCAAATTTCCCACCCAGGGGATCAGTGTGCTTCACTGGTGGCCCGGGACATGGGGGCCAACAGTCGAGACACACCGGCACATCTCAGCTGGGGTGACTTCTTCCTGCTTCCTGTGAGCAGGGACTTTGCTGTAATTTCTTCTCCCAGGGGTCTATAAATCTGGCAGTGTAGCTATTCAATAAATATGGATATTCATTGGTTAAAGTTTTAACCATTTTCTCATACTTGGTCTTATTACTCATTCACATATGGCTGGGGACATAGTTCGGCAGTCTAAGTGCCTGCCTGGCAAGCACAAAGACCTGCGTTTGATCCTAGTACTACAGGCTATGCTGGCCCCGGAAGCCCAGGCACACTGTGCTGGCCCTGAAAAACTTTCACTTTAGATCAGCAGTTGGTAAACTTCTGTCAAAGAACAGACAGTAGGCATTCTAGGTTCTGAGGGCCACAGAGGCTGTTACAAGCACTCTTCACCACCACAGACAACCACCATGTGGATGTGGCACTGGCCCAACAAAATCTACAAAACCAGGGGCAGGAAAGAGCCGACACACAGGCACCAATGGCTGCACTGTGTGCTGGATGCTCACTCCTATTTTACGCCCTGTAAGAGAACATTAGCAAAATCTTTTCCACTGAGACAGAGTGATAGGGTTCTGTACTGCCTGGATTACACAAAACTGTATACTACTGAGTAATAGAGAAGTAACTGTAGCGCATAAATAATTTAAAATTTTTTGGCCAATAAAAATTCATCAAATATCCTGAATTGTTGCTTACTGTGGAGGCCCAGTGCCCACTCATCCTCTCCCTGATCCTGTGCAGTGTCGCAGATGTTCACACACAGGATCACTAGAGTGGTACAAGTCGAAGCCTATTTTCAGGACTGATGTCTGGGGACCGTTTATAACCAGCAACTGTAGAAGTGAGAATAAACACTTACATTTATAGTAATCTAACACTAATGTAAAAGAACACAAATTTAACAACCATTTAGAAATATGCTAATCCTGGGTCTTTACCAAAATAGTCTGAAAAGTTTGGCTCAAAGCAAACATAAAGCAGGAAAAATTATTCCACATTTGCTAACTATGAAGACAAAGCCCAAGGTGTGCTTCTCAGCATGCTCTAGCTAGCATGTACAGAGCTGAGATCTTATCTCCTGCTTCCAACTATGAATAGCATTTCTAAGTTAGTAAAGTTAGCTGTGTTCTGTTCATTAATCAACTGGAGATTAAATTTATGGTACCAGTATCTCTTTCTAAAACATGCTCTTAGAAGAGGGGCTAAAAATGTGAATCAGTACAATTTCATGGCCTCTGCTAAAAGGTAAAACCTTTGTCTTTTTGAAACTCAGCACCATTATCTTGCTATACAAAGACAGCAAACCTAGCTTTTTCCAGACCAACTAGGGAATAGGACTTGGGCAGTAACATACAGTGAAAATAGCTGAGAACAGCAGGCTATGTGTGCTCTGCCAGTTCTGTCACCAACTAGCTGGGAACTATTAGACATTTTCCTCCTCCGAGGTCACTCGTCCCACAGACGTTGTCTAGAGTCTCTTTCAGACGTATTGCTGTTACTCCGATAGCACTAACACTGCAGTGTTCGGAGAACACCCTACAATAGTGACGGAGAACCATTTGGAGCTTTCCATGATAACAAACTGCCCACTGCGGCACGCCTGTCCCAGCACTGCCACCCCAGTCATACAAAGTGTAACACGGAGGGAGAGGAGAATACACGCTCAACACAAGTCTGTGCAAGTGCAGGGAATGGACCGGAGCGCCCGATGCGCAGAGGAGGGGGCAATGAGAACCCACAGGCCACAGAGTAAAGCAGCGTGGGCCACAGCTCAGCACAAAAACAGCCACGGCACACGAGGAGCAAGAAAGACGTGCCAGCACAGGATGGCTACGCTTTTGTCCAGCCAGTTACTCACAGAACAGTCTTTACCTCAACACAAAACTGAAAAAGAGAACATGTCAGACAAATTCATGGCAGCTTTAAGGAAACTCCAAATTCTTACCTAGTAAACATAACGTATGCATGCCATTCTGTCTGTTCTTTTCCATCTTGTCAAAGAAACTCTCTGGTCTCCAAGAGTCTGTCCAAAAAACAATAGAAACCGTCTCTCCAAAGTTATACAGCTAGGAAAAAAAAAACAAACAAAAAACAAAACATTACTGATAAAGCAATTCACTGCTATTTCCCAGATACAGAATTTAAACCCTTTACAATTATAATTAAAAAGTCCCTTTGATAGGGCCAGCCTGACAGTTCAGCGGACTAAAGTGCCCGCTTAGGTACAGTGCAGCACCTGGGGTGCAATCCCAGCGTGCAGCGCGGCCCCGCCCCTGGGGCACGCAGCGGTGAAAAGGCCACAGATTCAATCTACAACAAATAAAGCAGCTTCTCAGGAGCTGGTGTCTTTACAACGCCCTGCTCTGTATTCGTGTCTAGTAGTTCCATGTTCAGTATAGGAACACGCAGCCAATAAAGAATTTAGCTATGGAACTACTAAAACTGTTGCGATACAAAGTATGTAGAAGAAAAATACTGTTGAACACTCAAAGGCTGCACAAAATTAATACTACCATTCTTATTTTACACATCAGTTCACTGTGGCTTAGAAAGATCAACTGACACAGCTAATCAGAAATGAAAAAGAAATCATTAAACTTAGGTTTGAGAGAATGCTCTTTTTCATTGTATTACCTCAATAAATTTCACAGAATAAACTCCAGCCACTGCTCCAAATCTGCCTCCTTAATTTACAAAACTGTTAGTTCGCATGCTCATGATAAAGGTCAAGGCCAAGTGTGGGCATACCAGGCTGTGTCAGGGTTAAGCTGCTGACCTTGTGCCCTGAAGGGAAGCTGACGCCACAGTGAGGCAGCCAAGGACTCAGGCTCTCACTCCTATTCTAGGGCAGTTGCAGTGAACCTTGGCATTAAAGGCAGTTCTCTCAACTGGCAAAGTATACTGCTGGGAAAGTCTTTGTTCTATCTTCTCAAGGTCCTGCTCCTTTCCCAGCAAAAAAAAAAAAAAAAAGCCCAGGGCTTTTCTTTTCATTTTCCTTCACACACCCCAATCTATCTGAAACCCAATAAATACTGGCCACCCAGAGAAAATCTGTCTTAGCTCCAGGAGGTTCTGACCTTCCTACACCCCCAAACCACACTACTTGCCTCTTTCCTCTAAGTCTTGGCCATGCCCACAACAGATGAGGGGTTTCCCCAGATCTCCCTTCTGCCCACCCGGCCACCACACCAGACAACCAGAAGCTGGCTCCTGAGCCCAGGCTGGCCACGCTAATTCACTGAAATGAGTCTGACGCCACATCTAATGCTGACAAATCACTGTTTTCTTTATTCTCATTCTGGCTCTGCAAAACATGTTTGTTGTGTGACATCAGTCCTAGTCTACAAGAGCTGATCCAAAGCTATTCTGTGCCTAACAAAATGAATCACAGACAAAGACACACCGCACTAATCCCAAGACATTCCCCTCCTTTGGCATACAATCATCCCATCATTCTGCTGCTTTCTACAGCAGCTCTGGAAATTCTCTTTCCTGTCTCTAGGAGATGTGATAAAAACTGCAGTGAAGCTGCTACCAGGTGCCACCCCGTGGGAAGCCAGGCCCTAAAACGGCTACGGCTCCTCTCTGTCACGCTCATTCACCAGATCTGACAGCCCGCGACTTCTGGCTCTTCCCCAAAGCCAAACTGACTATGGAAGGTAAACATGCTGAATCACTTCAGAACACCAGGGCAGCCACCACAGCAGGCGAAGACACTGTGGGACTTCCAGAACTGCTTCAGAGGGTGACAAAGTGACCATGAAAAGTAAACATGCTGGACCACTTCAGAACA